CAAGAAGACAGAGCATCACTTGCCCCAGAGCCCCTATCTATACCTTGTGGCTAATAGCCACTGATGGACCTCTGCTCCATATGCCTATCTAATTCCCTTTTGAAGCTGTCCATATAGATTTGTGGTAACACTGTAGACCTGTTCAAACCAATCAAACCAGATGGTTTTAAGTTTACCAAATCATGATGCATGTTTTGATGCCAGAAGGAATATTTTACATTTAGCATTATGTTTAAATGGCCAAGATGGTTTGATATTATTTATTTATTTTATTTATATCCCGCCCTCCCCTAAGGCGTATTATTCTACTGTTGGATAGGCTATTAGCTTCTATAATAGTAGGAGAGGGTTTAGTAATCCCTGGTATTGTTTCACAGGTGGTTATAAACTCTCCTGTTTTAAAGTAATTGTTGCTACCTGTGGATGTTGCAAATTTCTACTCTGTTGAGGTAGAAATCAAAGACCTGTGCAGCATCACCATTATTATTTTTAGTTAGCGAGAAACATTTTTTGAGTAGACCCTTAAAGAATTCATAACTAATAATCTAAGGTTACTATAAAATTTATTCGTGTTTCTAACCAAGTAGATGGAGACAGGCCACTTGTTCCTTATTCCAAGGAATTATTTCTTTACAGTGCATAGAAAAACTGTAATGGTAAAAAGCAACTTTAATTCAGTTCAAGGACCATATTTTCTAATAAACTGCTGTGACGCACGTAATAGGCCATTCTTACAGTCTTAAACTGTGTTCCTTGTTTTGGAGTTCTTCAGGTAGCAACCCTACTGTACAGTTATAAGGGGAATGCTTTTATCTTATTGAGTGCACTTAGAAACAAACCACGTCACTGTGGGCACCTGAATGACAAAGCAAACATTTCATCTTACCTCAAACGAACTGTGTCCATAGCCAAGCATGACCTAGAATACCCTTCAGGACTATCCAGAAACTTCAGCTGCTGCAGAACACGGCAGCCCATGTCACTACAGAAATAAATCCTAATAATGACTTGTCAAAAACACATTTCACCAGGGACCTGGATTCGTGTTATCTTCTATGCGCATTTCAAGGTGCTGGCTCTTATCTGAAACTCTAAATGACTCAGTGTTCACTATCTCTCAGGGGCAGCCTGCTCTTTTACACTCAGTTGCAATCTCTAAGACCAAGAAGTAGCAAACTATGTGTGTAACATATCCATACAGCATTATCAGAAACTGTTCCACAATTAGATCCAGGTGGGAAGCCATGTTGGTCTGAAGCAGTAGAACAAAGTTTGAGTCCAGTGGCACCTTGAATAAAACTTTGTTGGCCTTAAAAGGTGCCACTGGACTCAAACTTTGTTCAAGAAGAAGAAGAAGAAGAAGAAGAAGAAGAAGAAGAAGAAGAAGAAGAAGAAGAAGGAGGAGGAGGAGGAGGAGGAGGAGGAG